AAAAAAAAAAAGAAAATAGAAGTTCAAAGAAGGTGGGTAATTTCCCTAAGGTCCTCCTGTTACTAAGTGTTGAAGTTTCAAAGTCCCTTCACTTCACCCACAGTGCTATGCACTAGAGGTACAGCAGTGAACAAAGGGTCTTAACCTTGATTCTATTATACAGAGAGACTCAATTAAGTGTCTGAGATTTCCCAACCAATTAAGAGAGCTGGAGTGCTAAAAATTATATAAATGGATTCAGGGACTTCTAAGCTCAGATTGCCCTGGAAACTCAATGACTAATTCCTATCTTGGCTCTATTCAAAACAGATGTCTCTTTTGTTAGTAACCTCAGAGATACTATTAAGAAGGACCTAATATATGCTCCCTCTTTTTGAGAGCCACCCTGCTGTGTTAGTGAGTCAAGCCCTATATCCAAACCCTTTCCAGAAGGGCAGTCTCACTTAGTTTGAGCTGATGGCATTGGCTTTTTTAAAAAAATTTTTTAGACAGAGTCTCAATATGTTGTCCAGGCTAGAGTGCAGTGGCAATTCACAGGTGCATCATAGCACGCTATAGCCTCAAGCTCTTGGCTTAAGAGATCCTCCTGCTTCAGCCTCCGAAGTAGCTGGGACTATAGGTGCATGCCCCTGAGCCCTGCTGATACTGGCTTTATATGCACAAGTAACATTTTGTGTCATATTTGGCACTTGTAAATCCCTCTTAACTGACTACACCTGTATAAAAGTTAAGTTATTTACTCTTCAAGTTGCCGGCCCTTTGCCAGGGAGTATTTACTCTTCTTTCAAGGTAAGAATTTGGAGGGTAAGTATAGGAATAGAAATCCAGTTCCTTATAGTAGACAGTTTATTCCCCCCCCCCAAATTTTTTAGGCTGAAAACTTGTTTCTTTAGATTTTAGATTTCCTTCTGAGGGTTACAGTTTGTTTTTGTGTGTATGATACAAACAGTGCCCTAGAAGTCACTTTAGTGTGCATTAAATGGCTATTCTTAAATTATGAATCTGGGGCCTGCTGAGACTCCTGAGGACTGAGCAAATGCACATAGCAGGATTTCTTCCCTAATTTTCTTAGGGATCCTATCCAAAAAGGCCACCACCAAATTTCCCAGCTTCCTCTTGTAGAGAGACTCCCTGCTGTGTGTACTCCCACCTCTGCAGGTGACATCATTTTCTCAGAGGGAGTGCAGCAAAAAACAATAACCAGCATTTATTCAGCATTTATACAGCACTTCTCATAGGCTTGTATAGGCAACAGACATTTTAATGGAATCCTCTAAAACTGTTAAGTTCTTGGACCTGCTCTCAAGTCATATATAACCTAATGCTGGGCTTTGTGGTATGACAAAGTTGTTTGCTTGTTAATAAGTTCCTACCACATACCCTGACTTGTGGTTCATTTCTACCTAACTAGGGAA